AATACCCTTTCCCTCTTGGACATCCATTTCATGTTAAGCCATACCCACAGAAGCCCTACGTGCGCTCTGCCTGCATCAACGACAAAAATCGCTGGTGATCCACAACCTTCGTTTAGCAGGGCCTTGTTCTTCCTCCATTGATAGGGCTTGTGGTGTGTTTATAACTTTTTTTAGAGGCTGAGCGCTCAATTCTCACTCTTTTTTGTCCCTCTTGCCACAGGGGGCCCAATGGTGTCTGGACTATGGAAGAGAAGGGGCTCTCCCCAAAATTTGACACCACCTTTGAGAACGCCAGGCCCTCCAAGACTCACATGGCGCTGCTGGGACTGCAGAGAGTCGGCATCCTGAAATTCCTGGTCAGCCAGAACGTGGACGGCCTTCACGTGCGTTCAGGATTCCCACGGTACTGCCTCTCCTGCCCTGTCTCCGGGTCCCTCGTGCCTGTCCCAGCCGCTGCCACGTGGCTGTTCTTGCTGCCCGATTAGCATGGCCTCATGTGCAAGTGTTTGATGCTGGGGCTTGATTTCCAAGCCTGGTTTGGAAACTGTCTGCCCACTGGTATTGGGAGTGGAAACTGGGATATGCTGGTGTGGGAAGGGGTACATAAACCAGCTTGAATTTAGAGCAGAGAGGTTACGGTAATAATTCAGATGGTGATGAAATGAAGTCAGCCTCAGCTGATGCTCTCTAGAAGTGCACCCAGAAGTCATTCCTTCACAAGTAGAATGAACAGGTCGTGGTGTTGAGCCATCACATGTTACCACCCATCAGCTGAGTGGCTGTAGCTGACGGTGCTGCTGTGTGAGCAGCCCGGCTGTGCTGCTGCCTGGGGGCTCGTGGCCCAGGGAGTCAGACGTTTGCTTCAAGTAGGGCATGTGCTCCTGGGAACTGTGCTCAGAGCCGCGCTCAGGGCACACGGTCCTTTCCACTGCCTCTGTACCTGTTCAGAGGGGTGAAGGGACAGGAGGGGGGACGAGAGCATCTGAAACCACTCCTGCTGCTTGCAGAGGCACATGCCACCCTGTTCCGCTAGCGTGGCTAGAACTGTCTCAGAGCACTGGATCTTGTGCTATTTTAGTTTGCTTAAATTGAATTTCTTAAGAGAAAATAAAGGCGGTGCTGCCCCAGTGATGAAAGCATGCCTGGGCCCATGGTACCTTAAAAAATATTTTGCCTCTCAATAAATTTGTGAAACTGCAAGGGTGACGAGAGGGAGAGAGAGTCCCGCAGTCGGAACTGGTCGCACTTACCGGCTGTGGTCTCCGATTTCCTCGCCCGCTGCGATGAGGTCAGGGATCCTGCGTAGCCATGTTCCCTCTGCGGGGAGCTGCGACGAGTGGGAGCCGAGGGTAGGAGATCTCCGCTGCCTGTGTGGGTGGGGACTGAAGTGCATTTAGCAGTGCGGTGGCCATTTCAAAGATGTCCTCAAAAGACCCTGCCTTTCCATTAGCACTTGCGACACCAGGCCCTTTTCCCTTCAAGAAACTT